ATATACCATTCAATTCACACCATGAATTATTTGGTCTGCTATATAAATTCCTCTCTCGATTCATTCACATAAACCTAATCAATTAAGAGATGGTCACTCCTAATAGCATTAAGCAAGATAACTCATAGACTATATGGAAATCACGATCTTGGAAAAATCAAAATAAAAATATATTCATTGTTATGATTAGGCTTTCCACAGCCCTAGCTATAAATAAATCAGTTCATACTAGAGGAAATAAAGCAAACAAGTGGAAAGAAAGAACGCATGGTGTCGCCCTTGGAGCTGAGATTTCCTCTCCTTGCCGCCACCTCCTTCTTGCAATCTTCTTGCTTGATAGATTGATTGCTCCTCTGCCTTCTTCCTCCCTCTCTAGTCTGCCCCCCGTCCCTTTATATAGCTTAAAGGGGAGGGGGTGGTCTCCAACTCCTTCTGGGAGTTTATCTTTCAAAATTAGAAAGTCCTAGTCTAATCCTACTCTTATCTCTCTATCTAGTGAACTCAATCTCTTTATCTTTTTAGGATTACATCACAAATTTAAATCTGGTAGGACTCTTCTCAGTTTCTTGTTCTTGCATTCGTATTAGGCTTCCTCTGCGAATTGGGCTGCTGCAAGGTTTTTCTGCAAGTTGGGCTTCAGCTGCGAATTGGGCCTTCCTACGAATTAGCCCCGACTTCGGGCCCGGATTTAACTTCGATGCAGGCCGAATCGGCGAAAGCCCAAAACATGAAAGTTGTAGCTTTATCTCTTATCTTTCCAGTGAGTCTTGAATCAGCCCAATCAGATCTCGGGTACGAGAGGCCCAGATTACTTAACGGTGCCGAAACTGTGAAAAATCATCCGATTTGCCTTGCTTTTCTCCTAATTCCTTCTTTCATGCCCTGAACCATCAATCAAGAAATATGAGTCCAAATAAGTACTAATTCAGTATAAAAGACTGAATATTTGGGGATAAAAATATGATAAATTTTATTCTCATCAAATCCCCCCACACTTAAACTTTGCCTGTCCTCGGGCAAGACAAAACTCAAAAAAAATAAAAATAAATAAATAAAAAATAAAACATGAACAAACTAACTATCCTACCGATTTTTAAACTCAACTCTCCTTCATCTTTCTCCACAAATATTGTAGGTTAACTATTGCAAACTGTTAAATCAATACAACCAATTCATACATGACTCATTCATCAGTCAATCCAATTTTTGCTACTACAAACGAGGTAGTAAACTAGGGAAAACATTTTTTATCTCCTCTCTTTCTCCCTCTCTCTCTCTTTTTTTTTTGTTCTCTCCGTTTTCTCTTCTTTTTTTTTTCTTTTTCTCTCCTTGGTGGAAGTGAGTGCATTTTATGCTCCATCTCACTTTTAGGATTACTTGGTCAGTAGGTACATTTTATGCTCCATCCTACTGTTTGAAATGTTGGCTAGTAGGTGCATTTTATGCTCCATCCTACCAAAAGTATTCACCCTATTTACTTAAACCTGAATTTAGGACTAGCTTAACTGGAAATGGCTTTAGATAGGTCATGTACTTCTTAATTGTACCTCATTACTAGGTCCACAAGAATTTTCCCAGAATATTGTTTCAATTGATTCCAAAAGAGTTGAGTCCTTTTTTTTATTTTTTTTGGATAAATCACGACCTAAATCAAATTTTAAAACACAACCTAAACTCTAACCTAAATCCTAAATCCCCTCCCCCACACTTAAAACTTACATTGTCCTCAATGTGAGGTTAAATGCAAAGAAATGGCAAAAAAAATAAACTAGAAATGTAAAAACAAAAAGAAAAAGGAAAAACAAACTTCCCTATTTTTAATAATCATGAATCGGATCCTCTAACTCTCGTGGTTGCAGCTTTCGGTGTGCTCCCCTTCCATCCATCATGGGCGGGTTCAAATCTGGAATAGGGGCCTGCAAAACAGAGGGTAACGGTCTCTTATTAGAAATCGGCAACATAATATAATGAGCATTACCTTGTCTTGGCTTGAACCTTTCTTGACCGGCCTCCAAACAGTTCAAAACCTCCTTAATTTCTTCATCCAAGACCTGTACATTTTTACAAGAATTAGGAATGCAGCTTTCAAAAGGGTCATCTAATTTAGATGCGTTAATTTCACTGCCCAAACATCATTGCAATCGATTGCATATATTTCATGTTCAATTGTGTTGGGATATTTCATGGTTTTAAATACATTAAATATGACTTCTTCACCATTGATTCTAAAAGTAAGTAGACATTTTCGTACATCAATTAAAGTATTACCAGTAGCAAGAAAGGGTCTTCCTAGAATCAGAGGCATTGTCCTATCTTCCACCATATCCAACATAATGAAATCAGCAGGAATAATAAAATTGCCCACTTTGACTAAAACATCTTCTACTATTCCCCTAGGATATTTAATGCTTCTATCAGCTAATTGCAGGGTAATAGTAGTAGGAGTTAGTTCATACAATCCAAGTTTTTCGAAAATAGAATATGGCATTAGATTTATACTGGCACCTAAATCRCATAAAGCTTCCTCAAATTCAGTATTTCCTATAATGCAAGGTATCAAAAACTTGATAGCTATGATTATAACCCTAGCAAGTGCACTACTTATCAAGTAGTATAAAAATATCATTACCACGGGGATTTAACAAAATAAGTATTAGAACTACAGTCTTCCCTAATTATTTGGACAATCAAAATTCAGATTTAAGAGAAAGGACTACTGAAAATACAACAAGAAAATAAAAGCAATGGCAATCACTAACCGAATATGCAATAGGTGAAATCGCTAGGGCTTTTGGTCCACCTAACCATTCAAATGAATATTAATGGATAGGGTTGTTCATAAGAAGGCCCAACCCGACCAAACCGACCAACCCGGACCGACCCAACCCGAGTCGGCCGGGTTTTCATCAGCACGGGTCGGTTTTGGGTTGTGCAAATTCCTAAACCGATGATTCAGGTCGGTTTTGGTT